GACCTGTTTGTTTCCTCTCCTCTATCCATCTTCTATCCGCCTCCCACTCTCTCCCTATTTATTTCAGAACCCCCTACCCCTCCCCCTTTTCTGATGAAGGGTCTAGGCCCGAAACGTCAGCCTCTCTGCTCCTATGATGCTGCTTGGCCTGCTGTGTTCATCCACCCCTGCACCTTGTTGTCTTGGATTCTCCAGCATCTGCAGTTCCTACTATCCCCAGAATATTACATGGGTTTCTGGATTCACAGTCCAGTGATAGTACCACTACACCATTACCTCCCCTGCTGGTCACAAATCAGTGGTGCGGAGACATTAAAAAGGGAAACTTCTGCAAATAAGCATTGTGTCAGAATACACACACAATTTTACTGGCCCCAGTGTGACAGACTATCCACTAAAATAGTAGGATTTTAATCTGGACTGCTAATTGAAGGCTCAATTGTTTTAATTCGATCTGTTGCCCAATTCTAATTAACCGGAGGACAGTTGAAAGTTGACCACATTTTGTGGGTCTGGAGTCATAGGTCAGGCTGGATGAGGAGAGCAGATTTCCTTCCCTCAAAGTCATTAGTGAACCACTTGGTTTTTTATGTCAGCATGATTGCCATCAGGCTAGTTTTTCATTGCAGACTTTTACTGAATTCAAACTTTGCCATCTACCATGATGGAATTCAAACCCCATGTCCCCAGAACATGTACATGGTGTTCCAGATTACTAGTCCAGTGATATTACCACTACGCCACTGCACTCTCCTTCTCATTCACCCCTCTCGCCTGAGGTATGATGACTCTCAAGTTCAACCATCACTCTACACCTCTCTCTGTAAAGCACTATGACAACTTTACTGCCTCCCCCATTGTATGGGACTGCTGGCATAGTGCCAGTGATAGAATATGCCTACCCCATCAATGGGATACTGCCAGTTTCAATCTCTGTGATATCTTGTGTGTGGGGGAGAGTTGTGGAGCCAAATACTCCATGGCCCAAAGAGAGGGCAGCGGGAAAGGGAAGGCAACTCATTCAGCCCCAACAAACACCCCTCATACCCCCACCAAATCTCCACTCTGAGGTTTCCCCCTCAACTCTTGATTCTGATTTTTTTTAAGTTTACGTAAGTATATGTACACCCGTCTTTCACAGTAACGGCCACCTCTCTCAGTGGCACTGCTAAAGTTTTGGAGCTGTTCTGGAGAACCTAACTAATGTCTTTAACTTGACAATGGACCCATTATCAAACAGATCCACAGCTAATGAGTGTCGCCTCTGTTCCTGCTTTACACAGTGACATCAGGGTTCCAAACCCAGAAAAGTGAAATCCAATAATTGTGCTTAAGTCAGAAGGGGGAGCTTTGAATGCACTATCCTTCAAAGTGGAGGTCAGTGATGACAAAGAAATTGAACAGAGTTAAAACAAAAACACAACTTGCTGTTGAATAAAAAAACTGTTAAACAACTCAATACAATCCCTGGCATAAAAACAAAAACAAAAGTATAAAAACTCAGCAGGTGACTCAGCATCTGTGGAGGAAAACAACTTTAACAATTCATTTTCCAAATCACTTCTAGTCCTGATAGTGTTCTAGGAGTGCTTACAATATGGCAGCAGTTTTACTATGCATTTCCGTTATGGTATGAGTTCCTATTATTTTGGAGGGACAAAGAACTTTGTCATTTATGGCCACATCCTAATTTCTGCAGGTACATGAGGCATTTAAATGTGTGATTTCACTAAACAGGAACACTACAGAATTCTGCTCCTCCCATTTTGATTCCTATTCCACAAAGACAGCTGTGCAGATGATATTGCTTACATGGTCATGAGGAAATGTACAAATTATTGTGGATGTGGACCTCACTCGTGATTGCCTAACAGCTTGATTTCAACAAGGACAGAAATCTTACTGCATTAGTGAAATATTAACGCGCCAGCTACAGAAATCTCCAAATAGATGCTTTCAGACCTTAAGAAGTAAATTAGAAGATCAAAATATGCACCTTTTCCAAGTAGAAATTTCTCCAGAAATTCCCCAAAAGTTCCAGGCTCTGGCAGGAATTTTGCTATTTTGTGGAAATGATAAAAAGAAACAACAATGTCCATTGGATTTCTTGCAACATAAATTACCTGCATAATGGGAGAGAATGATGTGTTTAGCAAATAAGAAGCAAATTTATTGCTGCAGATAAAAGTGGTGAAATATTTTGAAATTTCAATTACATTACATGGATTAAATGAAGACTGCTTCTTTCAAATATGGTTGCTTTCAACTCTGCCTTGCACAGATTGGATGGCTCGCATCCTGATCAAATTCTGTCCAACCCCCTATGGCCCAAGTGCTTGTCTGAAATGTCCTTGGCAAATATCCATTAGTTACTGTTCTTATCAACACTGAGAAGCTTGAAGGATAGTTGGTATAAGAAATGGAAATATTCACATGTTTCAGTAATGTTATTTTCCCGATTGGGACAAAGTAAAGGATGTTTAGCACTATATCCAATCCATTATAACCATGAGGCTGGATGAAAATCTGAAATTGCATGATAATAGTACTGTGCTGGCAGCTTGTCTCTACCAAGTTCAGTTTTACTTTTGGAACTACTCTTTCTGATGAAGATTAACAATATGTTTGATATTATTTGTAGGACACAGGAAATAACCACGTCTCTATAGAAGTTACATATTTTTTGCAAGCTAAAAATAGGATGTCTAAAATGTTTCATTTTGTTGAGGTCAGGGAAAAGTGTGTGAATACTCTAGAGAATGTCAATATATTGAAGGAGGAAGTTTTGGGTGTCCTAAATTGCATTAAAGGTAGGTAAGTGCCCAGGACATGATGGGATCCATCTCAGGTTACGGTGAGAGGCAAGGGAAGAAATAGCTGGGGCATTAGCAGATATCTTCACAACATCTTTGACCACAGGTGAGGTTCCAGGGGAACTGGAGATTAGCCAATATTGTTCCCTTGTTTAAGAAAGGAAATAGAGATAATCCAGGAAATTATATGGCAGTGAGCCTGATGTCTGTGGTGGGGAAGCTCTCAGAGAAGATACTGAGGGACAAGATATATGCACATTTGGAATAAAATGGACTAGTTAGTGACAGGCAACGTGGTTTTGTACAGGGAAGGTCATGTCTTACCAACCAGATTTTTGAAGAAGTGACAAAGATAATTGATGAGGGAAGGGCTTTGGATGTAGTTCATATGGACTTTAGTAAGGCAGTTGATAAAGTCCCACTTGGTAGATTGGTACAAAAACTAAAATCACATGGGATTTGGAGTGGGCTGGCCGGTCTGATAAGCAAGTTTACAGACAACACGAATATTGGTGGAGCTGCTGGTAGTGCTGACAATTGTGAAAGGATAAAACAGGATACAGATAGATTGGTGACTTGGGCACAGAAATGGCAGATGGAGTTTAATGCAGACAGATGCAAGGTGAGGCATTTTGGAGGATCAAACTTAGCTGTGAATTATACTTTAAATGGCAGAACCCTTAGGAACATTAACATACAGATGGGTCTGTGTGTGCAGGTCACAGTTCCCTAAAAGTGGTAACACAGATGGCCAACGTGATTAAGTAGGCACATGGCATGCTTGCCTTCATCGGCCAGAGCATGGAATACAAGAGTTGGCAAACCATGTTGCAGCTACATAAAACCCTTGTAAGGCCGCATTTGGGATATTGTGTGCAGTTGTGGTCACCACACTACCAGAAGGATGTGGAATCTTTGGAGAGAGTGCAGAGAAGATTCACCAGGATGTTGCCCAGTCTCGAGGGCATTGACTATGAGGAAAGGTTAAAAAGACCAAGATTGTTTTTACTCAAAAGACAGCAGCTGAGAGGAGACCTGATATAGGTCTACAAAATCGAGAGACAATAGATAGGGTGGATAGTCGGAGGCTTTTTCCCAGGGTTGAAGTTTCAGTCACAAGGGGGCACAGGTTCAAGGTGACAGGGAGAAAGTTCAAGGGAGAAGTGAGGGAAATTTTTCACGTAGACTTTGACAGGAGCCTGGAATGCACTGCCAGAAGAGGTGGTGGAAGCAGACACTTTGGTTACATGAATAGGGAGGGAATAGAGGGAAATGGACCGATGGCAGAAGACTTGTTTTTCAGTTTAGTTAGGGCATGATGATCCTATGGTTGAATCCTCCAGGGCTTGGAGGGCTGAAGGGCCTGTTTCTCTGCTGTACGTCTCTTTTGTTCTTTTTGTTCTATTTTGAGACTAACATTTACTAACTGCAGCATTTTTTCATTAAAATTGTGAAAACAAAATCTAGCTACAAAGGCAAGCACCATGAAACTGAACTGAATTCCACTCGATTAACTCCGACACACAAGTTGCTTAATCTTTCATATTGTGAAAAATAGACACAAGGTGCAAATTTTAACTGTAACAGGATATGCTTTCGTTCCTCTCTCTTGCACTACATTCTGACCATGACAATGTTGTATTTGGTTGCTGTGCTGCATTTTTATTCAACAAAATTCAGCCTCAAACAAGTGAATTTTTTCTAACTTTTATGCTATGCTTTCTGAAACGAAAAGTTGGCTTTAGTCTTATCATCTCAACAATCTACAGGAAGTTAAAACACTGCAAAAGTGCAAGCGAGGCTGGCTATAACAACAATGACATTGCTGCCATATTTTTAACTTTTTAAAGAAACTATCAATTTACACTTTTGAGACAATCACTGACATCAACTTAGCTGTCATGTATTTGCATACCTTTGCATTAGATTGTTTGAGGGATTTGGAGATGATGTGGAAGGGTAGGTGGGTGGTAATAATTCGATTGTCAATCTTGTCCTGCAGAATGTCCTCACAATAATAATGTTCAATCCATGGTGTTCGAACCCAGTTAGGGATGGTTTTAGCAGGGGCCTGGTTTCCATCACTATAAATAAGTGTGAGAATTTCCTGCATCCACGTTGTACCTATGAAAGTCAAACCAAATAGGTTATTGTAGTCCAGCAGTTTTAGAGGACAAGGCATATTTGGACCACATTTAAATGAAATGATTGCAGCAGCTAAACCTGTTGCTATAAATGGCAATGCTGTGGCATTAGGTGTAGAAGATTCGCCACTAACAAAGTAGACTTCAAGTTCCTGCTTTCATTTCAAATTTAGTCTATGAATTCTAAATCTAATACATTTGAAATGAACAGAGAGTTACACTCTGACACCTCTATTTTACTTTTTAAATTCTTATCCAGACTGGAGGTCAACACTGTCCTCCATACACAGACACTCCTTATCTGTACACTATATTTCTACAGCATGACATTATCATGATTCATTCCTTATTCCATAAAACTATTCTTCACCATTTTCATTTTAAAAGCCCAGATCTCTGATAATTAATTCAGAGCTGTATTGAAACAGTGGAGATTTGTTTTTTTTTTAAAAAAAGTTGCCTGCCCTTGGCAATATTTAAATTCTCAATACCTCTGAACAGCAGCATCCTAGGAGATAATTGGGAATGCATTCAGTTCAGACCATTTGCATTCCCATTGCCTGCAAACTTTTAAATGAAGTTCAGAATGCAAAACAAAATTGGGTTAAAGAGATGAACACACTGTGCCTTTACCACCCTCCCAATGCACAGAATACCATACTAAATAAAAATAAGGTGTAAAAATCTGTCAGCAAAAATATTATTTGTGACAGTAGACAGTCGTAAAATAAAAACTCACATCGTAAAAAGGTGCATAAATAATTTCACATTTATGCCTGATGCCATTAATTCAGAATTTGTCACTTTTCAACAATGAATATACAAAATAATGATGAGCATTGCAGTACTGAAATATACTGGTGCTCCTACCTGATTTGGGGTATGTAACAATCAGTATATCCGTGTTGTGAAATTTGAACTCCTCAGCAAATTGCATAGACTGCAATGTATGCAGGTGTCCAGGAAAGTTGATGCCTGAGTAGTGCAATGCCAAATCAAGGTTAGCCATGACTTGTACTGCTGCTGACAATGAACTGCTCTGCAGTGGGCTCTGCTCAGCTTTTTATCTTTTGATAACAGGAAATCCAGTTAATTCTCACTGTGGGGGAGGGGTGTGGCAAAATAACATTGTAGTTCGATTGAAATTTTCTGTTTATCGTGCTTTCCTAGTCTCCTTGGTGATCGTGATTCACACGCTCAAACTGTAACAGGGCGCTGTTCCTCAGTTCAGGGACTATTCTTAATTTGAATGCTTGCAAAATGGTTCATTATTACGTCATGGAGATCATCAGAGAGAAGTCATTCTTGCAGTGTTTTTTCAACCACACAAGACTCCAGTAGAGGTCACACCGCAGTCACCAGGAGGTACCTTGTCTTTTCTCTTGAACAAGCTAACACAAAATCACCTACTTAACCTCACACCAAATTACAGGCATCCTCTTTGGCTATTGAAATTAACTGACCAGAACAGTATCTACTGTTAAAGTCGATTGTTGATTGGCTGTTGCCTGTTTCGCATGACAGTCCAACATCACTCTCATTTCTGGAATTTATTAATGTAATTAGTGACATGGGTGACTGTTGTTGGTTTTTTTTAAGAAAAGCAATCTCCCTTCTGGTGTTACAAGGATTCTGGCCGGGATTTTCAGGTCTCACCAAAAGAAGGGAGACTAAGTCCTAAAAATAGTGGAACCTACTAGCAACATGCTAGTTTCCTGATCCTCTTAGGCATTCTGGCCAAGTCTTGGCAGGACTTCTCATGCTCAGGAGAGCAGGTAGCCAATTTGACTCACGAGACTGTTAAAGATACGTTTATCTGGGATTTTCTATATCAGTTTCTCAATGCAAATGAAGGTCTGGGGGAGAGCGGCAGACTAACTGCCTTAAGGTGGGCACCCAGTAACAGGCCTGGTTCTAGTGCTCCAGGCAGTCTACACGTCTCCTGGCCTGGAAGGACATGGAGACGAAGGTTGCCCCATAGAGGCTTTGCCATACATATCGCTTAGACTGATGGTCTGGCTGCTTTCTCTAATTTGTCATTGTATGTTTAACCTTTCTGCCACTTCACATTCAATGCCATTGAAGTTGCAAGGCCTCTGACTGTGCAGCGATGAATGCTTGTCTATTGCCCTTAATTAGACAGAGAGCCCAACCTGGCTTCATGCCCATCAAAGGGACATCTTGGTCAAAACCTGAATGACAGACTGGTGCTTACCTGCATGGGCAGCTTCAGGAGGTGGAAACAAGCCCAGCCCCTGTTTCTTGGCCCTAAAGTGAAAATTCAGCCCACCTTATTTTACTATATCTCATGTTGCCAAAATGTCGGAGTGTCATTTTCATTTTCAATGAAGTGACTGGTTAATCATGTGACAAACATGAGTAACCATCCCTGGGCCTATTGAGCTGGTGCTGATAACAAGGTTGATGCGTCCATGCCCTGGGATAAACTTTGATTCTGATTTGGTAGGAAGATCAAGTGGCTGGACATGTGCAAAGTTCTGGCCATAAATGGCTGATCAGAACACATCAGCAGTCATACACTGGACTGGGTTTAGCATGCTGGGAGTTCCTCACCCCACCTGAAAAAAAAAGTTTCAATTTGGCCAGCACGGTGAGGGTAACACGGTGGCTCAGTGGTTAGCACTGCTTCCTCACGGTGCCAGGGACCTGGGTTCAGTTCCACCCTTGGGCGACTATCTGTGTAGAAATTGCACATTCTTCTTGTGTCTGCATGGGTTTCCTCCGGGTGCTCCTGTTTCCTCTCTGTGCAGGTTAGGTGGATTGGCCATGCTAAATTGCCCGTAGTGTCCAAGGATGTGAGAGCAAGGTGGATTAGCCGTGGGAAATGCAGGGTTACAGGGATAGGGTGGGGGGGATGGGTCTGGGTGGTATGGTTTTCAGAAGGTCAGTGTGAACTTGATGTGCCAAATAGCCTGCTTCTGCACTGTAGGGATTGTACGATTCTAGGATCGGTGGTCCCAGCATTTTCAGATTCCAGAGGTGGCCACTATTAGGACTACAGCCAATCCCTCAAGAAGAGAAGGAAACTGGATTGAAGTTAACGCTGGGATATTAATAGTGCTGGCTGCTAGGCCCCAGAATAGTGGGTGAGGGAGGTGGGGGGCTGGATTTGCGAGCTAGAGGTGGCTTAAAGAGGGATGTAGGACTTTGGCAGAGTGTTGAATGCCCCTAATAGAGATAGGGGCATTCAAAAGGAAGTCCTTTACTTCACCAGTCTATCTTGTAAAAGCTGCCATGCTACTCACTTGTCTTGAGCTTCCCATTGCCATGAACGAAATGGTGATGGGGTGAGATGTGGCATTTGAGAGCTTCTGTGCTTCCAAGAGTGACTGGGCTTCCTAATAATTCCCTAGTGGGAGTCTGGACCAGGATGAGTGAGGAGAGAGCAGGCAGGTTCCGTGCTACATTTTAAGGCCCACTCACCTATGCCAGTGGAGGGCTGTAGAATCCAGCCATATTCTGGTTCTAAGTGACATGAAATGTCAGTTTACGTATACCCAGTGCACCTGGTCTCCACCATTCTTTTGGTTTCTGCATTCCCTTGAGAGGGCTGATGCTGTGAATGGATATTTTCTTTAATGGGATGTGGTCCATTACTGGCTAGGCCAGTATTTATTTCCCATCCTTGACCACCCTCTGTGAAATTAAGAGTCAACCGCATTCCTGTGGATCTGGAGTCACATGTAGACCAGACCAGGTAAGAATGACAGATTTCTTCCCATAAGGATATCAGTGAACTTGATAGGTTTTTACGACAATCAACATTCATCATTGGGCTGGTTTTTTGTCCCAGGTATTTATTGATTTCAAATTTCACTCTGTGCCGAGGTAGGATTCAAACCCATTTCCCCTGAATGTTAGCCTGGGCTTCTGGTTTGCTAGTTGAGTGACATTACCACTATGCCACCACCTCCCTCATTGTGTCAAAGTTTGGCTGTTCAATTTCTGTTTTGATTAACTTGCTGGGACACAGATTGGAGAAGTGTAATGGTCAGGGTAGGAGAACCTGGAATCCCCTACCTCACCCATGGGTAAGTTGGAATTTTCTCTAATATGGAGCAGTTGGGGTATCGAGAAAGCACTTCAAGTGGTCCATCAGGCTCAGTATTAATGAGGAACCTTCTATTTACGCATAAATTTCAGTGCCTTTTATATGTAGAGGTCACTGGAAATTACAATGCCTCTGAGGACATACAAAACTTTTTGGTGCATAGCTTATTGTACTGTAAGGTCAATGTGGTTTCAATCCCCAACTCAGATTAAACAAATTCAAACAGTGTCATGATCAAGAGTTTTCAAAACCATTACCACTGGAAATTCTGTGAACTCTTGTGGTTCTCTCGTAGTGAACCAATTTCTCTGATGGAACAAAGTCTGGGTCTTTAAGTACAGCGATCACAGTACCTTCACATTCAAAAACAATTCTTCCAGTTCATATCTTCTGTGGATAATAAGACCCTCAAAGATCACTGGATGTTCCTTCTCGTCTTTCACATTATAATTCTGAAAAGCGGGTTAAAAAACACACACATTTACATTAAACAAGAGCACAACACCATCAGCCAGATTTCAAACATGGTCAGTTTTTCCAACGTTGGGCCTCCTCCACCATGCAATAACAGCAATAAAAAGAAAGTGACCTTTCTTGTAGGTTGCTGAGAAGTATTGGAAATTTTCACTGAACTAAGTGCTGCTATTTTTACCAAAATGTATTAAACATTAATTTTAATTTTGAGCTCTATACACAGGAAGCAGATATCGAATTTCTGCATTTTTAAAATTAAATTTCAAAGTCCTTCCTTCAAGCTTCCCCTCTTTATATGTCTATTGTCTTGCTGTGCCACAGCAGTTATGTTTACCACTGCCCACGTGATGAATCAAATGTCTCTCAGCAAAACGTGTCTGTCAAGTTTCCATCAATGATACAACAGCAGCTCACCACCACCTTCTCAAGGTCACCTAGGGATGGGCGAGAAATGCTGGTCAGCCAGTGCTGCCCACATCCCACAAAGGAATAGAAAAAAAAAGTTACATATAAAAGTGCTAGAATTGTCCAATTTTGCTATTCTTTGTGCTATTATCTCCAGATTAGTACCATATGGAACCAGAAATGTCTTTTGAATCAGTTGAGTCTTTAATGTTTCCAAGAAATTTTGTATTTACATTCCTAACTTTTTGTTTTTCTACTTTTCATAGTATCTTGGAGTTTCTAGCTCATTTATTTTCTCTGTAATAACCTTTTGCCAGCCTCAAGAGACTGCTTTGATCAGTTGTACATAAGTTTACACTCCTTTCTTGTATATAATCTAATTCTCAGTTTTCTCTTCCTGAAAATATTTAGCTCATCAATACTGTCAATATTTTATGAAAATCATATTCGAGGAACAACAAAACTGCAACATGGCCCTATCTGCTTCCTTTAATTGCAATATAAAAAAAAACTTTAAAATTCTCGAAGAAATACCTTTGAAATTTATTAAAAATTCCAGAAACTTTATATGAGGCCTTCTCTGCAATAAGTGCTAAATTAAGCCTGCAAACCTATGAGTAATATATTCAGTGCAGGAATAGTAATTTTTAAATGAGATCCTGCTTTGAGAGCAATTGACCTTATTATGCACTTATTTCTAATAATTGGACCTTGTAATGTTAAAAGGATAGGTTAAATTATTCATAGTTTCAACTTGGCAGCAAAATAATGCAGACAGTAGCAGAGACCTGCAAAACATTTCTGGTCATAACAGAGATAGTAGGAACTGCCAATGCTGGAGAATCTGAGATAACAAGGAGCTTTCATGCTCCTCTGATGCAGCTTGGCCTGCTGTGTTTATCCAGCTCTACACCTTGTTATCTGGTCATAACAGTATCTTTTTTGCAATTGTAAACTGTATGCCAGATATTGATTATTTCACATGACTTTTAAAGAACCAAAACGTCTCAAGCTAGACGGAACTACATGAAGCTGTCTTTTTGTGAAGTCAGGCCAAATCAATGATCCTGTGACTTGCTTATAATTAGACTGCTTAAAAGTCTAATCAAACCTTGTTCTCCTCTGTTGTGATAAAAACAGACTTGCAAGCGAAGGTCACAATAACATTCAAGGAATAAACACACTATTTCCCTGAAATCTGATGTTAGAATTTAATTAGGGATAACTGGTGGTGTTGAGAAAGCAGCGCCTTCATGGTGACCTCAGCTGGTACAGGAATTGAGCCTACGCTGTCAGCATTGATCTACTTGGCTGTCCAGCCAACTGAGCTAAGTAACCCCCATTTTATTTGTTTTTAAATAGAAATGGTTAGATATGTAACAAGTAATAAAGAAGTGCAGAGGTGGGGACAGGGAGAACGCAAATAAAGAAAGAAAGGGAAGACCTTTGCTAAGGTTCAAAGCAGGCATCATTTAATAACAAATGGGATGATGGAGCAAGCCAAAAAGGAGATGGCAGTACAATAAGTAAAGAAATAGGAGATTGGCCTGTTTGTAAATGGCAACAGCAGCATTTTTACCAGCAGCTGCTACCCACTGGTCATGGTGTGAAATTATTGGGAGCCTAATTGAAAGACCGGGTGCTGTGTCTCATACTTTCATCGAGGAGTTAAAAAGCAGGATTCCTCCCCAGTTCCAAAGACAGCAGCAATAGGATCATTGAAAGAAAAACTACTGAAAACACGCAGCCAGTTATGTGGTTGAGGGGGAAAGGGGATGGTGGGGAGATGCTGACAAACATAGAAGTGGCTAGAACGGTTTAAAGTTGAAATTTAAACTGTCACAAAGATAGGCTTCCTTCGCTTTTGGCTGGTGATGATGCCACAGCGGAATTCTGTTCCGGCAGGACTACCTTCCTGACATCAGGCTGCTGCATCTGTAGAAACCTTTCATCAATTCTGGCACAAGATCATGAACCTGAAACATTGGGTGTAATCGTTTCCTCTTTGAATCCTGAGCATCAGGAAGGATCATTTCTGGGTGTAGCTACCAGGGTAGCCTAACCTGTGAGATCTCCCTGAAAGTGCCATTGTTTCTGGGACTACGATCTAATTAATGGCAGGGTCAGGGTTGCTGAACCTGCTCCTTCAATGTGAGGACAAGCAGCTCAGACGAATCGCGCTGTCACCGTGTGCCTCAAGGAGACTCTACATTGAGGCACCCTCTGACCAGGGAAGAATTTGAATTAAAATAAATGGTGGCTACAGCCGCCAAGCTGCCCTTTGTATTCCTCCTGGTCTCACTGAAGTGTCTCCCATCAATTTGCACTTTCCACAAAAAAACTGATTGGCTAAATATTTCTGCCACTTTCAGATAATATTGCAGATTTCTAGAATTGTAAGGATTTTGCCTTTGTTATAGTTGCACCTGATCTACTTTGCACATTAGTGTAAAATCTAAAATATAAATGTTTGGAAATCATTCTAACAATAGCCTCAAAATAGTGGCACAACCCATGTCCTCCACCTTTTCCAAAACGTTCAATTCCCCGGCCCCCAACGCCTCATCTTCACCATGGACGTACAGTCCCTATATACCTGTATCCCTCACATGGAAGGCTTAAAAGGCCTCAGCTTCATCCTCTCCCGTACGCTAAGCTAGTCCCCTTCCACTGACATTCCCATTCACTTGGCTGAACTGGTCCTCAGTCTCAAAAATTTCTCCTTTGATTCCTCCCACTTCCTATAAACCAAAGGGGTAGCTATGGGCATTCGCAATGGCCTGAGCAATGCCTGCCTCTGTAGGATTTGTGGAACAGTCTCTCTTCCGCAACTACACGGCACCATCCCTCACCTCTTTCTCCGCTACATCGATGACTGCATTGGTGCGGCCTTGTGCTCCCATGAGGAGCTTGAGCAGTTCATCAACTTCGCCATCACCTTCTACCCAGCCCTCAAATTCACCTGGACTATTTCTGACACCTCCCTCCCCGTCTCCATCGCCAGAAACTGACTCACCACCGACATCCATTTCAAACCCAGTAACTCCCACAACAACCTTAACTACAGCTCTTCTCAAACACCCTTCTGCAAAAATGCTATCCTATACTCCCAATTCCTGGGCTTCTGCCGCATCTGCTCCCAGGATGAGGCATTCCACTCCAGGACATCCCAGATATCCTCCTACTTTAGGGACCATAATTTCTCCTTTTCTGTAATTAAGGATGCCCTCAACCGCATTTCCTCCATTTCCTGCAATTCTGCCCTCAAACCCCCTCCCTCCAACAGCAATAAGGATAGAATCCCCTTAGTCCTCACATACCATCCCACCAACCTCCAGATCCAACAAATCATCCTCTAACATTTCTGCCACCTACAATCAGACTCGACCATTAAAAAGATATTTCCCTCCCCACCCGTCTGCTTTCTGCAGGGACCGTTCATTCCGTGGCTCCATCGTCAGCTCAACACTCCCCATAAACTTCTCCACCACACTCAGTACCTTTCCCTACAATCACAAGAGTTGCAACACCTGCCCCTACACCTCCCCTCTCACCTCTGTCCAAGGCCCTAAACAATCCTTCCAGATCCGGCAGAGATTCACCTGCACTGCATCCAACATGATCTATTGTATCTGTTGCTCATGATATGGTCTCCTCTATATCAAGAAGCCAAACGCAGAGTCAGGGACCGGTTCATGGAGCATCTGCGCTCTGTGTGCAACAACAAACCTGACCTTCTGGTTGCCATCCATTTTAATTCCCTCTCCCACTCTCCTGATAACATGTCCATCCTTGGCGTCCTCCACTGTCAGAAGGAGGCCAGATGTTTCGCTTTGGAAACTAACAGTCCAATGGCCTTAGCATTGATTTCACCAGCTTCAAAATTCTCACCCCCAGCCTTATCCCATGTCCAGCCCTCCCCCTCCTGACCAGACCTAAGCTGTCCATCTTCCTATTCACCTATCCACTCCACCCTTCCCACAGACCAATCACAATCAACCACTATGTGCATCCACCTATCACCATCTCTCCTACCCTTTCCCCTGCCCCACCTCTCCTTCTATTTATATGTGGGCTCCCCTCCCCCTCCCTCAGGGTTTTGGCCCAAAATGTTGATTTTCCTGCTCCTCTGACACTGTCTGACCTGCTGTACTTTTCCAGCTTCACACTTGTAAACTCTGGCTTCCAGCATCTGCAGTCCTTACTGCCTCAAATAGTTATTTCTTTTTAAATCCATTACAAGTGTTGTCTAGTTCCTTCTCAAAACCAGTTAGACAACTCCAAACAGAATGTTAGAAATGAATTTGCCCAGGTGTCCCACAATATCAGAGTCGTCAAATCACTAAGATCATGAACCGGTATCAATGCAAAACAGGCCCACTTTTATTAGGAAACAAGTTTCAATAACTAAACATACTATCTCTAATCATATTTTGCCTCTTAATCTTACAATACTTCCCAAGTAGCTTGTAGATTTACGCAGTCGCTCTGTCTCTGGGTTTATGAAGCTGCTTTCTCTCTTCCTCTGTTTCTCTCTCTCTCTCTTTTTGCATGGTCAGCTGATCTCTGCATCATGCCATGCTAGTCTCGTCAAAGGCCTCCAAAAGATTCAAGAGAGTCCAAGAGATCGGTCAGCCGGTGAACCCTGTTTTTATATCTTTTTAGATGGTTTTCTAGAACTTTCTATAATTCAAGCCAATTAGGAGAGACACACTTAACAGTTTGAAACATTGTCAATCAATGGATGGCTTGCTACTGTTAGTTTCTTTGTGTAGCAGGACCCAGTGCCTTTCTATCTGGGCCCTCCTTTGTTTTGTGGATAAATTGTTGGGGGTATGTCTGTCTAGGATAACTGTTGCCTTTTACATTATGCTAGTATCATTATCAACTGGCTGCTGTGTTTCCACTGTGTCGGTTTTGTGATTTTAGAGTTTTATGTGGCCAATGTACCCAGCATCCCTTGCTGTCTGGCCAAGTTAGCAATCTGTGCTTTAGCAGCCAGGAGGCTGCTACACAAGGTAGGAAACAGAGCCATTTGTTGCAGAAACAAAAGTTGCTGGAAAAAGTTAGAGGGTCCGGCAGCACTTGTGGAGAGAAAGCAGAGTTAACATTCCAGATCCAGTTACCCTTCAGCAAATCTACTGTCTTTTTCTAGCTACCATTAGTTCTGAAGAAGACAGTGCATGGAATGGGGTAAACGATAGTTGGATGAATAGAAAGAGCTTAGAGAAATAGAGAATTGCAGTTAAGCAGACAAAGAGATGGATAATTGGGTGCTGGGGAGAAAGTAAAGCTGATAATAGGGACCATTAGTAGATGAAAATAGGTTGGCTGTGATGAAAGCAGCCCACGTGATGACAGGGCCAGGGGTGTGAGGGTGGTAAAGGACATGGACAAAGATGTT